CTGATTGAGGAAGGAAAGAGGGGAGGGGGTCACGAGATCTGTTTGAGGCAAGGGGAGGGGGTCACGGGTGCGGTCTTATATATATACCGAATGGACATGACTACTAGTCCCGTCCATTTGATTTGGCATGCTATTCCTAGATTAACATGCCTTAATTACACGGGACTAGTAGTTTGAAAAAACTCCTACAGCAAAATCAACCATTTTCATTTGAGTTGAGATGAAAATGATCGATTTTGCTGTTTTTTTGTGAGAAGGTCGAATTGCTCTGTTTTTTTGTGAGAAGGTCGAATTGCTCATTAATTTTGCAAAAGGATTGTTTTCAAAAATTTATCCAAAAAGTTAAATACGAAACTATAAAAAGAGAACTGAGGATTTGGCCCCATTTGAAATATTAATGGGTCAAAACCCAAATATGAGGTACAAAAGTAGGTTATTTACCTTATAATAATGATGTAAAAGTAAGTCACATTATTTATATCCCCTCTCTCCCATAATTAGTCTTATCTCCCCCATTGGTCTTAATCTAATCACCACAAGTTGTGCATGATTAAAATAAGAAGCCTCCATCATCGAAGGAATACAAAAAATTTTGATTAAAGAAGGAGAAAGTTATGAGAGGTGGATAAGCTAGCTACTAAGATGGGATTAGTAAATTACAAAGGCTTAAGTGGCATGAAAACAACCCCTATTGGCCAAGCTCCTTGCTCATGGCTCAACGCACAAATACCCAAAGACGCTCTCTCTCTCTCTCTCCCTCTCTCTATCTGTGAGAATATCTTACACTGAGCTGAACTGAGTATGTCTTTCTCATTTTCTTTATCTATTTGCTTTGCTCATTTGTGGAAAATTTCAGTTTATTTCTATGTTTTCTTGGAACCCTTTTCTTGCAATTATAATCTGATGAAGTTTTAAAGGCTGTTTCTAGTTTATGAGTTGCATATATATATATATTATATATATATATATATATATATATATAATATATATATATATATATATATATATATATATAATATATATATATATATATATATATATTAAAGGTGCTCTATGCCATGTGCTAGTTTAGTAAGTAAAAGTTTTTATTTATTTTGTGGGTAATTTTTGCTCCAATTTTTGGTAAATTCTGAAATGGGTATCCCTCAATATATAGTGGATATGGAGAATTTTGAAGTTTTGGGATGCTCTTGATTGAAATATGCACTCTCTCTGTATTTTTTTTAAAATTTTTTTGGATTTTGTACTTTATTTCTGCTTATTTGATGTGACTATGTGAAACTTTGATGTGTATGTGAGAATCCAATTTCAATAAAAAGATGCTTGGTTTTTCCTGCTGTTTTCTCCTTAGATTTGCCAACAAATGTTTGTGCTCTCATTTTCTTCTTATTATGTCAAGAATTTGCTTACTTTTGGTGAGGGAGGATGTGATCCTGGTATCTTTTCATTACAGGAAAAAAAGGTTTAAAGAGCATCCAAGGTTTAAAGAGCTATAGGTTTCGCTTTTGTGAGCAATCCTTGTGATTCTTATCTTGATGCTTTTGACGATTTTACTAAAGCCTCGCTGACAGATTATTAGCCTTTTCGCTGCTTCGAGATGCAAACTGCGATATGCTTCAAGCCTACTGGAGGAATTGGGCAGTTTTCCGTTCCCCAGCAATCCCCGGCTACTCTGGCCCCCTGGTGGATCGGAAACCGATCGTTTTATGGAGAATCTTGTGGCCAATCAAAATTATTTACCGGTGCTATCGACACAAGGTCAGGGCAAGAGCAGAATATATTGGAGAAAGAGGGTGGTGATACTGCTAGGTTTTCAATAATTCAAGGTAAAATCTTGTAGTATGTATATTTACTTTCGCATGTTGTTTCTAAATTTAGGAACTCCTTTGCTTGCTTTCTTCAATTAGTAACCTAGTGATGGGTATCAGTAGAGACTACAAAATTGTTTATTGTCCAAGGACCCTTCCACTGTCCCAAAACTCCTAGTTTAAATTCGTGGTTGTGGGAATTGAACCTAAGTCTCTCTGATGCCAAGTCAAAGGACACTTTCACTGCATCAAAACTCTAAAATTATGGTGAGGGTTGAGAATTATAAGTTTTTATTCTGACACTTATTACGTTATCTTAGAACAAAGCAAATCACAAAGACAGTTTTAGTTGTATGCATGTTTGTTGTTTAGCAGTTCAAATTATTGTAAATGTAATTTTCAGTAATCATAGGGCTTACTAAGAATGTTTTGTGTTCTTGGTTAAATACTTCTGTCCTTACTTCCTTGGTTTCTCCGTTGGTTAAAAACATCTCATTTGTCAACAACAAACAAAACAAATAAATGTATAACCAAAACAATAACCATCGTTCATGTCTAGAGTATTTGGATTAATTGATAAAATGGGAATAAGAGAAACAAAAGCTGGGTCTAGTGTTTCCTTCTTGAAATGTGAAGCGGTGAAATGTTATAACAGGTAATTATGGATAAGGGTTAGATACTCACCATAATTTTAGAGTTTTGGTGCAGTGGCAGAGATTTTTGACCTGATACTAGAGCAACACTGGTTCAAAATGTCCATAATTTTCTAAAGCGTACTTTAATTAAAAAATATCACTATGTGAGTCTAGATTTTTGCCCATGAAAAGGTACTCAACCTGTGGGGGCGTGTTCGGGTGTAAAGTTATAAATCTCAAACCTTACCACAGCTTCCCTCAACCTGTGGGGACGTGTTCGGGTGTAAAGTTATAAATCTCAAACCTTACCACAAGTTCAGTCTTTGGAATTTCGGTACAATGGCAGGGACCTTTGGTAGTTGGATTTAAGATTTGGGTGGGCATATGGATATAATCATGTAGATAAGTTATCATTTTTCTTTTCCCATCAAATCGACTCCATACTAAGAAATCTCCCTCTTCATGGAAAATTTGGTGAACCTATAACTAATTGTCTTTTCTGAGAGCTAGTCTCAAATACATGGCCAAGAAATCTTGCATAATAGAAGGAAAACTATCCAACGACTAATGAATAGGCTAGTAGTAGGAAGGAGATCGATTATAATTTTAGGAAATTACATTATTTTGAGGATTGATATAAGCCAACAAATCAAATGAAAAAACAGGCATATAATCTTTTTGTTTGCCAAAGAACCTTGCTACTAGACCGAAACTTGAATTGTGATCCCATTTATGGGTTGAAATCTAGACTCCCAGAGTGACAACTTCTTCTTCTTCTTCTTTTTCCCTCCTTCTCCCCCAAACTGCGCTTTAGAAACTTGTGGCAAGTAAGACTCGAACATGTGCTCTTGTACCATATCTACACCGAAACGTCAAGATTGTGGTGAGCATTGAGGGTTACTAAACTTCTAACTTCTAAACCAATTTGAAACTATCTGAAGATGTATGCTGTATTTTCATGACAGTTGTGTGTATTCAAGTATAAATCTATAAGCAACCTGGGATCTCTGTCCGTTAGCTTTTGGTCTAAACATGAATTCAGTCAATACAATTAATATTTGTTTTTCCTGTATCTTGTGTTCTCGATAACCTAAGACAATTTCTTCATCTTAACTGGCACATAAATTCTTAAACCCTTAACAAGTTTTTATTTCAGACAACAAGGTTTCTGGAAAAGATGAGAAAGTCCAGCAACATCCTGCCGCTCTCTCTCCACAGTCTCCGTTTGAATACCAAGGACATTTTGAACTGGGTCTTGGTCGGAATATGGTATACTTTTCGTCCCTCTAAACTGTAGTTGAACTGAAAATTTTAAGGAAATCTGATAAGATTTAGTACATACTGGAAATTTCTTGTCTTTAATTTAGCTTTATCTACTCTTATTTTCGCAGGCTTGTTCGAATTACCCTTACTTTGATCAGTGCTATGGCCTGTATGCAACTTATGGAGCTCAGGCAGCGGTTAGTTTCTCTCATCTTGTTGAAGACTTGGCTACAGTTTTATGAGACAGATACTTACCTTGATTTGAACTTAACAAATTCGCAGCAACTGACTTGAAAATTAACAAATCTTCCTTATTAATTTGCTCGTGTTCTCTTCTTAATGAAGCATGGGAGGATGCTTCTGCCATTGAACATAACAGCCAATGTACCAATATATGTGAACGCGAAGCAATACCATGGAATTGTTCGGCGTAGACAGGCACGTGCTAAAGCAGAAATGGAGAACAAACTGATCAAAATCAGGAAGGTACTCAGCATCTCTCACACCTAAATGTTAGTTTCGTAGTAAATAATGTTAGATCTAATAAAAACTTGAGATCTAAATCTTAAAGCTATGATTAATTCAAAGAGATTAATAATAATCAAAAGAATGCGGAAGCATATACCTGAATCCATTGAAGAATAATAATCAAAAGAATGCGGAAGCATATACCTGAATCCATTGAAGAAAACCTGATTAGGGTTTTGATGATCTTCTAACCTTAGGATCCATTGAAGAAAACCTGATTAGGGTTTTGATGATCTTCTAACCTTAGGGTTTCTCTAGCCAAATTTCTTTCTAGATGGGGGTGAAGGGAATTAGAGAATATAACCCTAGATTATGGACCATAACCCCTTATTTATAGGTGTTGTACATTTATAATTTGGCCCCTTATCAAATTACAATTACAACCTGGTATCTGCACATATAACCCCATGACTTATTTAAATATCCATTAACCCAAATTAATTGATCACTTTAGTGGGTTATCCTGAAGGATAGCAATACACACAGATTAATCATATGTGCCCACAAATAGATTTAATTAGATTTAAATCCAACAATCTCCCATTTGGGCACTATATGACTCCTTAAAGTGTGTATAACCTTATGAGCTCAAAATTGCTATCACTGAAAAAGGTATTTCCGAACAATCTCGTCCATTAACTATATCAATATAGGATCAAAGCGATCTTCGTCACATTTATCGTGACTCGACCCATCAATGGTCACATATACCAATACAATCAAACGACATAGATCAATCATGGATGTACAGCATAAAAATTACATGCAATGTGATCAGTACATGTCTATTTTTAACTGGTCCTACTTTAGTGAGGTCAAAACCAAACATAATGTAATAGAGTGTCTTAACTGAATACTTTATTCTGATCAGACAATATAACCAAACACAGAGCACCACAATTACAAACTCCCACTAAATCATGATATCCTCAAATAACACCACACCCATATGAGCAGTGTGCTCATGAAAGACCTTGGGTGGCAATCCCTTAGTAAGATGATCAGCTATCATGGAGTTTGTCCCAATGTGTTCTATGGATATCTGTCCACTTTGTACCATTTCTTTCACAATCAGGAACTTAATGTCAATATGTTTTGACTTAGTTGAGCTCCTGTTGTTATTGGAATACATTACTACAGATTTATTGTCACAATATAACCTTAGTGGTCTTTCTATATTTTCCAAAATACGCAGTCCTGTGACAAAGTTTCGCAGCCATATTCTCTGATTGGATGTCTCATAGCAAGCTACAAATTCTGCTGTCATAGTGAAGGAAGCTACAAGTGTTTGTTTGATATTTTTTCATGATATAGCTCCTCCTGCTAACATATAAATGTAGCCTGATGTAGATTTTTTGCTATCTTGGCATCCAGTAAAATCAGAATCAGAGTACCCAATGACCTCCAGCTGTTCTGATTTTCTGTATATGAGCATATAATCTTTTGTTTTCTGAAGATACCTCATAACCCTTTTGACTGCTATCCAATGATCCATACCAGGGTTGCTTAAGTATCTGCCTAACATCCCAACAATGTACGCAATATCCGGACGCGTACATACCTGAGCATACATTAGACTTTCTACAGCCGAAGCATAAGGAATCTTCTGTATTTCCTGAATTTCAAGGTTACCTTTAGGGCACTGATTGAGACTAAACTTGTCTCCTTTAGCAACAGGGGTATCTCCTGGTCTGCAATCTTGCATGTCAAACCTTTTAAGTACTTTATCGATATAGCTCTTTTGTGATAATCCAAGTATGCCTCGAGAGCGATCTTGATGTATCTGGATTCCTAATATAAAAGAGGCGTCTCCAAGATCTTTCATCTCAAAATTCTTTGACAGAAATCTCTTGGTTTCGTGCAACATGCCTATATCATTAGTGGCAAGCAATATGTCATCGACATACAGAACCAGAAAAATATACTTACTCCCACTAAACTTGTGATATACACAGTCATCAACAATGTTCATCTCAAAACCGAACGAGATAATTATTTATTGAAACTTGTGATACCATTAACGAGGAGCTTGTTTGAGTCCATAGATGGATTTTCTTAATTTGCAAACCATATTCTTTGGGTCTCCCGACACAAAGTTTTCTGGTTGCACCATATAAATCATCTCATCAATGTCTCCATTGAGAAATACAGTCTTAACATCCATCTGATGTAACTCAAGATCATAATGAGCAACAAATGCCATGATTATTATGAATGAGTCTTTCGATGAAACCGGAGAGAAAGTCTCTGTATAATCAATGCCTTCCTTTTGAGTAAAGCCTTTAGCTACAAGACGTGCCTTATACATCTTCACATTACCGTTTGCATCCCGTTTGGTTTTAAAAATCCATTTACAACCAATTGGTTTTGCACCTTCTGGCAATGAGACAAGTTCCCAAACCTTATTGTCTTGCATAGACTTGTACTCTTCATTCATGGCATCAATCCACTGTTGAGAGTTAGAACTTTTCATGGCCTGAGAGAAGTTGATTGGATCATCTTCTAACATTCCACTACTTTCCTCATGTTCTTGGAGAAATACAATATAATCATCCGGAATAGCATTTCTCCTTTCTCTCGTGGATCTCCTTAATGGCACTGGTTCTTGAGGTTGTTGAGTTTGTTCTTCTGGAACAGGGAGTTGTTCAACATTATCATCTTGAGGTTCCGGATTTACTTCTTGAGCAACAACAGGTATAGGAACCTGAATATTGTCAAAAGTAACTGTATGGATTAGATCTGAAGCCAATTCCTCCTCAAAACTAATGTCTCTAACCTTATTTCTCCCTCCAAACTCAACATCCTCAAAGAATGTTGTTGTTCCCGTCTCAAAAATATTCCTTAGTATGGGATCATAAAACTTATAGCCCCTAGAGCGTTCAGAATACCCAATAAAATAGCTGCTAACTGTTTTGGTGTCCAATTTCTTTTCATTTAGCCTATAAGGCCTTGCCTTAGCTGGACATCCCTAAATATGTAAATGCTTTAAACTGGGTTTTCGATCAGTCCAAAGCTCATAAGATGGTTTAGCAACTGCTTTACTTGGTACTCTATTTAGAATGTAAGCTGCTGTCTTAAGTGCTTCTCCCCAGAGTGACTCTGGTAAAGAAGAATGAGAGATCATACTTCTTACCATATCCTTAAGAGTCCTGTTTCGTCTTTCAGCTACACCATTCATGCTAGGTGAACCCGGCATGGTGTATTGTGGGACGATACCACATTCCTCTAGGTATCTAGCAAATGGTCCTGAACGTTGTTCACCTGAACCATCATATCTGCCGTAGTACTCACCACCACGATCAGATCTAACGGTTTTAATTCTTCTGTTGAGTTGATTCTCAACTTCAGCTTTATAGGCTTTGAACATGTTCAGAGACTCAGATTTTTCATGAATGAGATATAGGTACCCATAACATGAGTAATCGCCTATGAATGATATAAAATATTATTGACCATTCTAAGATACCATAGGGAATAGTCCACAAATATCTGTATGTATCAATTCTAAGACATCTGAAGATATTTTGGCACATAATCTCTTAACCTTGGTCTGTTTTCCCTTGATACATTCAACACATACGTCGAAGTCTGAAAAATCAAGGGAATCCAAAATGCCATCAGACACAAGACGCTCAACTCTACCTTTTGAGATATGACCCAAGCGCTTATGCCATAATGTCTCCGAATTTTTCTTATTTAATTTACGCTTAGTACAACGTGATTCCACATGCAAGGATTCATTATAAGAAGCAATTGTATCGAGCAAATATAGGTTGTCATAAGTACTTAAGTAACCGGTTCCCACAACATTTCACATCTACCGATTGACCGTCGCCCACAAAGATGTGTCTTTTAACATCACTTGGCTTTCGGTAGCTCAGGCAACCCTGCATAGAAACACTTATGTGAGTAGTAGCACCAGAGTCTAACCACCAAGTGTTTCTAGGTACTGAAGCTAAATTAACCTCAGAACAGACCAAAGTAAGGAACGTACCCTTATTAGCACGCCATGCGTGATATTTTGTACAATCCTTCTTTACGTGTCTAGGCTTGTTACAGAAGAAACAACCCTGATTATCCTTATGTTGTTTCTTCTGAACTGGACCCTTAGCAGCTTCATTATCATTCTTTCTTTTCTTGCCCTTATCCTTAGAGGCATAGGCCAAATGAGCACTTTCTATCTTATCTTGCTTCAACCTGTTTTCTTCTTGTACACAGTATGAAATGAGCTCGTTTAGAGTCCATTTCTCCTTTTGACAGTTATAACTGACCTTAAACTGATTGAATTGTGCAGGAAGAGACAACAAAACCAGATGCACCAATAACTCATCACAAAGATCGAGTTTAAGTGCCTTAAGCTTTGAAGCAATATGAGACATTTTCATAATGTGCTCCCTGATATTTCCTTTGCCATTATACTTCATTGAAATCAAGCGAGCTTAAAGTGTGCTTGTTTCTACCTTATCATTTTTCGCAAAACGTTTCTCAATTTTGACAATGAAATCTTTAGCCTTAGCAATCCCTTCGGATTCTATGCCCCTGAAGGCTTTCGGAACGTCGCGCTTAATGATCATAAGACTCATGCGATTTGAACGTTCCCACTTCTCATACTCCTTCTTTACATCAGGAGTGCTATCCGCATTGAGAGGTTGGGGTTGTTCAATTCTTAATGCAAGGTCTAGATCCATGCAACCAAGAATAATTAATATGTTCTCTTTCCAAACCTTAAAGTTTGTCCCATTTAGCATGGGAATTGAGTTGATGTTAGCAGAAATTGTTGCAGCAGATTCATTACCTGAAATAAAACAAAAAATGCTCACATTAATAACCATAATTAGTAATCAATAAAATTCAAATAATGACAAATCCCATCCAAGATATCCGATACAACATTAATATCAAGTCTTTGGACAGTAATATTAATTGCAAGTGATATCTTGTTGCAACAATCAAACACTGACAATAACACATGTCAAATAATGAAACTATCTTTGGATCGATTCACTATCCATATGTAAACCTTATAATTATCACATGTTTATCATCACAGATGTGTATGCAGTCTAAATAAATATAAACCTTCCTTTGGGCCGATTAAATATTTACACGAAAACATACACACAAACATCTGACATCCCTCATGAACAATTTACACAAGAGAGATTACTTTGGTAACATCTTGTTTCAATTAATCATTTGGAATGAGAGACAACTTAATATCTTAGTGTTATATTATTTGAATTAAATAATTAATTAACTACCAAAACTAATTCAAATTAAGCAACTTAATTTGAATTAACCGAATTTTCCATAGCTTAATTAGAGTCTATAACTTAATTTAATAAATTAAGTATACCAAAGTGGACCCATGAAAAGCCGAGGCTTAAACATAGTGAACACGAAGTTCGCTTGACTTTGAATGCTAGGTTCGACTGTATTGAGTACAAGACTCACCTAAGAACGAACGCGAGGTTCGTTTGAAAATTGAACGTGATGTTCAACTTGAGAACGAACTCAAGATTTGTTTTGACTGAGCACAGGGCTCGCCTGAGGATGAACGCGGAGTTCGACCTGAGAATGAACGCAATGTTCAACTTGAGAACGAACGCGAGGTTCGACTTGAATTGAGCGCGGGGCTCACCAAAAAAAAAAAAAACTGAGCGCGAGGCTCAACTTGAATTGAGCGCGAGGCTCACCTAAGAACTGAGCGCGAGGCTCAACCTGAGAACGAACGCTAAGTTCGTTTAAATTGAGCGCGAGGCTCACCTGAGAACTGAGCGCGAGGCTCAACTTGAATTGAGCGCGAGGCTCACCTTGAATTGAGCGTGAGGCTCACCTGAGAACGAACGCGAGGTTTGTTTGAGTTGAGCGCGAGGCTCAACCTGAGAACGAACGCTAAGTTCGTTTAAGTTGAGCGCGAGGCTCACCTTAGAACTGAGTGCGAGGCTCACCTTAGAACGAACGTGAGATTCGTTTGATTTGAGCGCGATGTTCACTTGAGAACGAACGCGAAGTTTGGTTAAATTGAGCGCGTGGCTCACCTGAGAACGAACGCGAAGTTCGTTTAAAGCTTTCAAGCCTCGCCAAAATCTGAGGTAACCACCTCCTTAATTTTTGCCACGTTTTTACGCACGAATCTTTAGGGTTTCAATCTGAAACCGCCGCCGCCATTGCTCCTGCACCCAAAGGTTGAAACCCTAGGGTTTCGTGACGCCGCCGTCGCTGTCAGAGTCGAGAGCGAGGCCGCCAGCGACGCTGCGCCGGTGAGGAGCACGGGACCGATGACCAAAAAACCAAATAGATCCAAAATTTCTCGATTTTATTTCAAAAACAGATCCAGAATCGAAAAAAAAATTTCGTGATCCAGATCCAAGAAAAAATCCAAAATGTTACTGTTCACGGTGAATTTTTTATTGTTCATCCGAAAAATAAAAAACGTACATGTTCATCCGAACGTTACTGTTCATCCGAGAACAATTCTTAATCAAAACCAGAGATTTTAAGATCAAAAAACCTAATTTTTTTAAGAACTTAAACCCCTAAGAATTAATCACATGTGACTCTGATACCACTTGTTAGATCTAATAAAAACTTGAGATCTAAATCTTAAAGCCATGATTAATTCAAAGAGATTAATAATAATCAAAAGAATGCGGAAGCATATACCTGAATCCATTGAAGAAAACCTGATTAGGGTTTTGATGATTTTCTAACCTTAGGGTTTCTCTAGCCAAATTTCTTTCTAGATGGGGGTGAAGGGAATTAGAGAATACAACCCTAGATTAGAGACCATAACCCCTTATTTATAGGTGTTGTACATTTATAATTTGGTCCATTATCAAATTACAATTACAACCTGGTATCTGCACATATAACCCCATGACTTATTTAAATATCCATTAACCCAAATTAATTGATCACTTTAGTGGGTTATCCTGAAGGATAGCAATACACACAGATTAATCATATGTGCCCACAAATAGATTTAATTAGATTTAAATCCAACAAATAATTCAGTATTAAATCTATAATCGAAATCAAATTGAATACCATATTCTTGAAAAGAACTGTTAGGAAAAACACTTTTAGAAGAAGCTCTTTTGAAAAGGACTTTTAGAATTGCTGGAGTGAGTTAAGTCAAGTGACGAATCTCCTTAAGACAAATTACGCCCCCTGCTATGATGCTTACAGGATGATCGGACGTTGTCTCCCAAGATACAACACTCCTTCACAGCTTCGAAGAAGCACTTCTGCAAAGTTGTACTAGCGAACCAAAGCTAACCGTGCCTTCCACCACTTAACCGGAAAGTAAAACGAATGGAAGAAGAACGAATACAAAATTCAGATCTCTCTTAAACACACTGGATTTGATTCAATATTGAGTGTTTTGGCAATGAGATTTTGGGTTCCTTTTATAGGGACTAGGTGTCTTTTCAAGACATCCCTTCAACAAAGAACGTACCCATTCGGAATAAAAAGAAATGACTGTTCGGGTTCAAACAGACACAACTCAACCGATCAGTTGCGACTCTTCGTGATTAGATGTGCTCACTAAACTTTAGTTTTGGTCAATCTTCTGACTTGAATATCTCATTCATTCGGAAACCGATTTGGACAAATGAGTATACCAGATTCATTGCCTTTGAATGAAGAACGCGTTCAAACTCACTCCCATCCATTTCGGATAGTGGGACCCACCAAAAAGTTTAGCTCAATTTGCCCAAAAATTCACTCGGAAAAATCCAAGTTTTCCCAACCCTAAATACATGCGGGTAAATTCACAAAAACGCGGAAGCTTAGAGGCATTTTGCACCAAAACCCCCTAAATTTTTGCTTTACAAAAAACCCTTAAAATTTATAAAGTAGAGAAACCCCTGTAAGTTTTGAAATTATATAGAAAAATTGTTTTCTTATAGCGACCATCGCTTAGTTAGCCCCAATTTCATGTTACCACTCTCACAAGTTTCAAAATACCACCCATATATGCCACCCAGTCAACATAAAAAAACTTCTATCCCTACTTTCGTCCATTTCTCCGTTAAATATTAATGAAAATCCAACTATAATCCAACTAGAACGCGATTATAGATGAAAATTGTTTCCTTCCTTCGAATTGAGAGTTCCCTCCATTGACCAACAATTTCCTTCCATTGACTCTTACATCCCAAGAGTAAAAGGTCTAAACCCTTATTACCAAAAAATTCAGTTCTGATATAAAGTAAAAAAAAAGAAAATACACAAGGGCAGAAGCATATCACATGTGAAGCACATGACAACTTAAACTAACGCCAGCATTCATCATCGTTTATTAGTGAAACCAGTTCAGATGTTTTCTCAAATTTATGAAGAGCGTTTTGTGTAAAACAACCCAGTATTCATGAGGGTTCTTTGAAATTTATCCAAATACAAAACTTGTGTCGTCAAATTTCTTAGTATCTGTACCATATAACTCTTGTTTTTTCAGCCGTATCTTCACGAGTCCCGCCACCGTCACGCAATGCGTCGGCAAAGGGGAAGCGGTGGCCGCTTCTTGAACACGAAGAAGGATGGCAAAGCGCAATGTGCAAATACCGCTGACAGCGGAAATCTCAACTCAACAAGTAGCGGTTGGAGCATCAACGGGTCAGAAGTAACAAGCATTTGCTTTCAAAATGACTCTGATCACTTAAACACTTCATATCACGGTATCACAACTAAGTGGGGTTTCCCCAAAGTTTGATACCCCCCAAAGTTTGATAGCAGGCTCGGGGGATGACCAGTGATTGTGCTATTTGCTTTTATTTTCCTGAGGGCAAATATCATAATTTCCTGGGAATCCTCGAGCCTGGGACAACCAGATGGAGGAATGAGCTATATGCTATCATCTGGTTGTTTGTAAGGCAAATCATCCTTGGCTTATCTGCATTCTGATCCTTCGTCATTGCGATGTTCGAAAGTTCTTTGTGCAGGAAAAAAAAAAAAACTAGATATCACTAGGTTTTTGACCTGTAAGTAGTGTTATGAGAATAAGAATCGGAACTTTGTGATTGTGTGCGTAAGAATTGATGGATTTGGGCTTTGTTTGTTTTTGTGCTAAGTATGCAAAGTTTAGTCCTAAGATAGGTATTGTAATTGTATTTGATGCGAGTTTCTTGTGTTAGTACTTGTGCTGTTTTCTAACAATAGCAAGATTGTGAATTTTTAGAGTGTCAAGTCTGTGAAAATTGAAGTATCTTATCAGGAGTATGTATGCCTTGTTTTCCCTGTTATGGTGAATGAATTGTAATAGTTTATTCTTTCCTTGGATTATTTTAGTTTTGATAGATCATAGCTCTTATAGAGAAGCTAGAGAGATGAAAGCGAGATTGTGGAGAGCTTGTGGTGGAGACAGTACGTGAAGGAAAATGGAGAAGTCCATTTTAAATTAAAGTTTGCCGGGTTTTCTTAATAGTTATTTTCGATTTGAATTATATTTGAAAAGGGAAAATAGCATGGTTTAGTCCTTTGGTGTTGGTTCTGAATACTTCTGTCTCCCAAATATTTTTCTTTTGAAAATTACATTTTAAATTTTACTACTACTAATTTATCTTCTACCAGAGACTTGTTTAGCCTTCCAATCTTTATTCACTAGAGTCGGAGAATAGATGTTAAAAAAAAAAGGAATCCTTTCTTATTCGGTTAATATGTTTAACTTGTTTCATGACTATCTCCCATTGATTAATTTATTAAATTCATTCTTCTTTGACGTATCCTCTACGTTCTAAATGTGACTAGTCCATCTATTATTATTAGGGAAAATCCTCTTTTAACCCAAAGTTTTACCCCCACTTATTTAAAAACTCATCCACTTTTCTAAACATTAATAAACCCATTGTACCCATATGACTTATTTTTAAACCCAATGTCTATTATACCTCTCCATCTTTATACTGTATTTTACCCAAATTTGAAAAACCCAATACTACCCTTTCTCTCTTCTTCTCCCTTTCTCTCTTCTTCTGATCACCGCTAACAGCAGAGCATTAATGCGATAATGGCAGGAGAAAACGACGGGCTGCTCTCCCACTTCACCAACTCCCAATTTGGTACTCATCTTCAATTACTCTCTCCTTCTCTCTCTCCTCCATTAATTTCCCCTCTCTTCTTGAGCAATCTCTCTCCTCCATTAATATTTCTCCTCATAGATGACACTAATCCTACATCAATAGCTTGTTAACATTTTGAAATTTTTAGGTTTTCCAATACTGTATGTTTTCCAATACTATATGTTAACTTTTGAAATTTTGGGTTTTTTTGGCAATAGCTTGTTAAAGATGTCTTGTTCTTATAAATTGATGGATTCTTATCAAGCTTATGCTTCATGAAATGGTATGTGCATAACAATTTTGCTCATATATATCTATGTTTTGGTGACTAGGTTGATGCACAGAAGGTGTTTGATGGAATGACAAAATGGATGTAGTTATTTGGACCACAACGATTAGCGGTTATGCCATATTGCTATTGGTTGAGGAGGCAATAGAGGTGTTTGATGAAAAGTCTAAGAGAAGTTTGGTTTTGTGGGCCGCCATGATCTTAGCCCATCGGTATGCCTTCCTACGCCCTCCGGATGCACCTCTTGATGAAATGTCCAAGAGAAGTTTGGTTTTGTGGACCGCCATGATCTTAGCCCATCGGTATGCCATCCTACGCCCTCCGGTTGCTCCTCACCATTTTCTATTGTCGCCAACACCTAACGCAATGCACAGCTACCCCTCAATCAGAAACGATTCGTCAATGCACGTACACTAACTTTCCAATCAAATACATGAGAGAATCCCCCACTATTGGCATTCGATCAGATCTTCGCATTGCTGTCACATTGCAACCCAAACGGCAAATCAACTACAGCCTGCAATATGATGTACCAAGTAGTATCCAATGTATCGTGTTGTATGAAATTTTCTATATTATGTATATATAGATAATTTGTGTGTATATTGTATCAAATGCACTATCCAATGTATCATGTTGTATCAAATTTATCAGTGTATCTAGTAGAAATGTATCTAGTAGAAATGTATACAACGTTTTGATAGTGGTGATTTTGGATTATTTCCATTCAATCTTCATGGATTATTTTCATTCAATGTTATGTGCTTGAGTTTAGTGGTTGATAGATATGAATATCTGTAATGAACTGATGCACTGATTGAACTGAAGAAATTTTGATGGTAGGTTGTGGTAACTACAGCCTATTGGGCAATATTATGTGTCGCGTGACCAATTATCCACCTCGACGAGGGGTACTCGCCCAATTTTTTAGCTTTTGATAAAGTATAGCACTTTATGGAAAAGTATAGCAGCTTATTGATGAAGTATAGCACCTTATGGCAAAGTATAGCACCTTATGGCAATAGTAAAAGTATAGCATCTTATTGGCAAAGTATAGCACCTTATGCTTTCTGGAAATTCTGCAGCTTAAGAGCCTAAAATCAAATCAGTTTTTTTCGCTGGGACGAAACCACTCGACGACCTACGTCACGTGTTTATTGACCAATCATCTACCACGAACGGGGGGTCCTCGCGCAATTTTGAAGCTTCTGGGCAAAGTATAGCACCTTATAGGAAAGTATAGCACCTTTTGGCCAAAGTATAGCACTATATTATAAAGTATAGCACTTTATTGGAAAAGTATAGCACCTTATTGGCAAATTATAGCACCTTATGCTTTCTGAAAATTCTGCACCTTAAGTGTCTAAAATCAAATCAGTTTTTTTCGCCGCGACGAAACCACTCGATGACCTAGGTGACGTGTTTATTGACCAATCATCCACCGTGACGGGGGGCCCTTGCGCAATTTTGAAGCTTCTAGGCAAAGTATAGCACATTATGGGAAAGTATAGCACCTTTTGGCTAAAGTATAGCACTATATGGCAAAGTATAGCACTTTATTGGCAAAGTATAGCACCTTATTGGCAAAGTATAGCACCTTATGCTTTCTGAAAATTCTGCACCTTAAGTTTTTCGCCGTGAAGAAACCTCTCGACGACCTACGTGACGTGTTTATTGACCAATCATCCACCGCGACGGGGGGTCCTCGCGCAATTTTGAAGCTTCTGGGCAAAGTATAGCACCTTATGGGAAAGTATAGCACCTTTTGGCCAAAGTATAGCACTATATTATAAAGTATAGCACTTTATTGACAAAGTATAGCACCTTATTGGTAAAGTATAGCACCTTATGCTTTCTGAATATTCTGTACCTTAAGTGTCTAAAATCAAATCAGTTTTTTCACCGCGACGAAACCTCTCGACGACCTACGTGACGTGTTTATTGACCAATCATCCACCGCGACGGGGGGTCCTTGCACAATTTTGAAGCTTCTGGGCAAAGTATAGCACCTTATGGGAAAATATAGCACCTTTTGGCCAAAGTATAGCACTATATGGCAAAGTATAGCACTTTATTGGTAAAGTATAGAACCTTATTGGCAAAGTATAGCATCTTATTGGCAAAGTATAGCACCTTATGCTTTCTGAAAATTCTGCACCTTAAGTGTGTAAAATCAAATCAGTTTTTTTCGCCGCGACGGTGGATGATTGGTCAATAAACACGTCACGTAGGTCGTCGAGAGGTTTCTTCACGGCGAAAAAAACTGATTTGATTTTAGACACTTAAGGTACAGAACTTCTAGAAAGCATAAGGTGCTATACTTTGCCAATAAAGTGCTATACTTTGCCATATAGTGCTATACTTTGGCCAAAAGGTGCTATACTTTCCCATAAGGTGCTATACTTTGCCCAGAAGCTTCAAAATTACTCGAGGACCCCCCGTCGCGGTGGATGATTGGTCAATAAACACGTCACCTAGGTCGTCGAGTGGTTTCGTCGCGGCGAAAAAAACTGATTTGATTTTAGGCACTTAAGCTGCAGAATTTCCAGAAAGTATAAGGTGCTATACTTTGCCAATAAGGTGCTATACTTTGCTAATAAAGTGCTATACTTTACAATATAGTGCTATACTTTGGCCAAAAGGTGCTATACTTTCCCATAAGGTGCTATACTTTGCCCAGAAGCTTCAAAATTGCTCGAGGACCCCCCATCACGGTGGATGATTGGTCAATAAACACGTCACGTAGGTCATCGAGAGGTTTCGTCGCGGCGAAAAAAACTGATTTGATTTTAGAAACTTAAGGTGCAGAATTTCCAGAAAGCATAAGGTGCTATACTTTGCCAATAAGGTGCTATACTTTGCCAATAAAGTGCTATACTTTACAATATAGTGCTATACTTTGGCCAAAAGGTGCTATACTTTCCCATAAGGTGCTATACTTTACCCAGAAGCTTCAAAATTGCGCGAGGACCCCCGTCGCGGTGGATGATTGGTCAATAAACACGTCACCTAGGTCGTCGAGTGGTTTCGTAACGGCGAAAAAAACTGATTTGATTTTAGACACTTAAGGTGCAGAATTTCCAGAAAATATAAGGTGCTATACTTTGCCAATAAGGTGTTATACTTTGCCAATAAAGTGCTATACTTTGCCATATAGTGCTATACTTTGGCCAAAAGGTGCTATACTTTCCCATAAGGTGCTATACTTTGCCCAGAAGCTTCAAAATTGTGCAAGGACCCCCCGTCGCGGTGGATGATTGGTCAATAACACGTGACGTAGGTCGTCGAGTGGTTTCGTCGCGGTGAAAAAAACTGATTTGATTTTAGAGACTTAAGGTGCAGAATTTTCAGAAAGCATAAGGTGCTATACTTTACCAATAAGGTGCTATACTTTGCCAATAAAGTGCTATACTTTACAATATAGTGCTATACTTTGGCCAAAAGGTGCTATACTTTCCCATAAGGTGCTATACTTTGCCCAGAAGCTTCAAAATTGCACGAGGATCCCCCGTCACGGTGGATTATTGGTCAATAAACACGTCACGTAGGTCGTCGAGTGTTTGCATTGCCCTAAAAAAACTGATTTGGCTTATCACAATAAGTTGCTGAATTTCCAGCGACCATAAGGTGCTATATTTTATCGATAAGGTGCTATACTATTGTCATAAGGTGCTATACTTTGCCATAAGGTGCTATACTTCATCAATAAGCTGCTATACTTTTTCATAAAGTGCTATACTTTATCAAAAGCTAAAAAATTGGGCGAGTACCCCTCGTCGAGGTGGATAATTGGTCACGCGACACATAATATTGCCCAATAGGCTGTAGTTACCACAACCTACCATCAAAATTTCTTTAGTTCAATCAGTGCATCAGTTCATTACAGATATTCATATCTATCAACCACTAAACTCAAGCACAT